TCGTCTTGCCTTGAATCTGGATTCTGTCCCTTTCTCAGCCCTGGGCTGAGCAGTGACCAAGTCTGAATATGTGACTGTAAATTGCAGCAACCATATTTTTCATTCTTTTGTTACAGCATGGTTCCTTCTGTTATGAAAACTGTATTCTAATATGATCATTTTACTGATACTACGTTTGTCCTACAATCTTTTACACTCTTTATTGTTAATGCTTACCATAATGTATATCATTAACTCTTAATTTGGTACATCTGTGTAACGGACTGTATCAATAATATCAAGATGAAAATTTACTTTTCTATATTTTTCTTATTAAAATGAGATTTGTGCTGGCTTTGCCTTTGCAGTAAATACAGTAACTAATCCTTATGTCAGATTAACAACAGATTCAAAGATTATTCTACTAATTCATTCTGGATAGATGCTAGTGGAGAAAGAGGCTTTCCACTAATCTCCAGGTCCAAAAGACTTCTCCAGTCACTTAAGACATGCTATGGTTATTTCTGAGGATAGGTCTTTGGAAGGTTCTTGGAGGGCATTTAGAGTGGGGGCAATTTACTATTTTGTTTAAACAAATTTTATTTTTATAAGCTTGATTCCCTTCCCTTATAAATTTTTGCAAGTAGAAAGTCACATCTGAACTATACTTTTATAGATATATTAAACATATTCTGGTGCTTGGAAACATCAACAGGTAAATTACCAGACAACAAACAATTGTTAACGAAGTCCAAATGTGACTGCTAAAAGCTAATTTAGTTTCATCAGGTTACTCTGGGTCACAGGAAGCTAGAATTCATCTGGACACTGCCCCATCCACAGACTACATCTAAAGAACAGTGCTGTTTCTAGTGCCCCATCTTATGAAAGATATGGACAATTGGGAACGCAATCAACCCAAGGGCTCAGTGTGATTAAGTGAAGGAACTATGTCATATGAGGCACAATTGGAAGAAATGGGAATGTTTAGGACCAAGAAAAGAAAATATTGTAAGGAAAGAGAAACTCAAGAGCTATAATCCAAGGGTTATCAGGGTGTCCTCTCATAGACAGATTATACATTTTAGGTGTTGCTATGGAAAGCAATATTACAACAAATGAGTAGAAATTTAAGTGAAGCTGATTTTAGTTCAATATAAGAAGGGTTTATCTAATAATCAGGCATATCTAAAATTTTATTTAAAAATATTAAGTATTTTTCTGTTAAACAAAACTTTACTTGTATAAAGTGACATTTCACTTTAATCATGAAAAATTTAGCATCCAAATTGAGATGTGCTTTCATTATTAAATACATATGGGATTTTGAAGACTTATTATGAAAAATAATATATAAAGCATCTTATTAATAATTGTTTTATCAATTACATATGGAAATGGTAATACTATATATCTACTGAGTTAAATAAGATGTATTATTGAAATTAATTTCACCTGTCTCTTTTTACCTTTTTTAATGTGGCTACCAGAAAATTTGAAATTACATATGTGGTTTGCTTTACATGTTGAATGGACAGTGCTGGTCTAGAGAGATGAGCAGGACCCTGACCATGACCTTCATCCCCCGAAATGGAACACAGTATAGCAGCAGAAAATGTTCAGTAAACAAGCTGATGAAAATATGAAGAGATGATTTTTTTAAGAACATTTAAAGTTTAGAGAAATGCAAACTAAAACAATGAGATATCACTTTAGACATACAGACTGACCAAAATTAGAAACTTAGGAAAATAAGAAAACTGGATGCGTCAGTGGGGATGGGAGGATACCGGGGTGCTCCTGCACTGCTGGTTGGCATGCAGACTGCAGCAGCCAGCCTGGACAGAGAACTGACCCAATACAGTCAAAGTCCGTGTAGGTGTGCCCTATGGTTCAGCAGTTCCCAAACAATCCCACACAGGGCCATCCCAGGCTGTGAACAAGATGTTCACTGCAGGGTTATTCAGCACGGTGGGGAGCTAGAGGCAACCTGGGTGTCTGTCACCAGATGAAACGTGGCGGGTACTGCTCTGAGGACTGTGCAGCAACAGTGGACCAGAAGCACATACAGCCACACGATGGATCTTCCACGCCTAGTGCTGCATGAAAAAATGTTTTAAATAAATAAATAGGCCACAAAAGAGAAAGAAATCTAGAGCAGAATACCATTTACTGAAACCAAAAAATACAGGAACTTGAACGAGAGGTTATTTTTTTCCAAGAATCCATACAAACAAAAGGATACACATCGGCCTTGTTATAATGGTTTGCCAGTGGGCACGGAAGGCAATGAGAGTGGGAAATGAGGGAAAAGGAACTAACTAGAAAAGATATGTAACAGAAGAGAGAGACCAAGAATCAAGCCTTGCTTTTCCCACTTTCCATGGTGGCTCTGGACAAGTCACATAACATCACTGAGCTTCAGCTCCATCGTCAGCAGATAACAACATCTACCTTGAAGGACAGTTAAGGATAGTAAAGCATCCAGCACAGCATAGTACATCCCAAGGTTCCTTCAACGGAATCGATTCTCCCTTGGAGTTTATGCAGGTTCCGCTCACCTGCTTGAAGCACACCCTTCCCGCTCTATCAGGCATGGACGCTCACAGCCTATTTAACTCCAGGTTAATTGGACATCGATGAAGAAAATAAGGTGCCATAATGCTGACTGTAGGTAGTTATAAAGGTTATCCTTGATCTTCTAGGAATTACTCTCACTCTGCAAACACTTTTGCCATCCGGAATCTGCTATCTTTATTTACATACAAATGAATAATTTATCACTGCATCTAGCAGGAACACAGACCCAAACTAAAGCCTGGGGAAACAAATAAAAAAGACTAATGTGATTCAATGACAGATGTTGAGAAGTTTTGAAAAAAAGGGTGATCCCACCATACATTGCATTACATTCCTCGTTTAGTCTCACCTAACATGCAGCATAGCACACCCTATTTTACTCTTCCTCAGTGCAGTTGCCTATAAGCCCAGTTCTAAATTGTGAATTCCTCCAACATTGGCTACTGCTAAACATCTTACACTTCCTCAGAGTGGCCCACAGTGTGATGTATATACAGAGGGTGCCAAAAAATGTATACATTTTAAGAAAGGAAAACTGTATTAAAATTGTAATACTCAATATATACAGATAACAAAAGATTAATAAAAGTCACCTTTGACTTCTGCAATTACAAGAGGTGCTCAAAGTGGTTACCATTCTTAGCGTAGAGACACTTTTGATTATAGCGAACTACTGCTTGAGAAATGCTGACCAAAGTGTCCACTTGTGTACATTTTTTGGCACCCCAGTGTATGTATGCAAGCATGTATGTATGTATGTATGTATGTACGTACGTATACACACACACACATAAAATGGGCAAAATGCCTGGTTTCATGAACTTGTCAGAGCTTTCAGTGCTTCCTCACAAATACATTGTAAACAGAGATCAGTAAATTCCAAGCCCTTCAGAGCCTCTGCGAGGCATCCAGAGCTGCAGAGGGAAAATAGCCTTTCCGAGTAGCCCTCACAGGCTTCCCACTGAAATCAGGCACCTGCCCAGTGCAGTTGGAGACTCACTCCCTCTCGGCTGCCAACCCTTAAGCTTTTCTAGACTGTTTTTAAATGGGGTTGGGGAATCCCAACTGTTACTGGAAGATTATCCAGGAGCGAGTAGCTGGTTCTTCCTGGATGCCACCCACACCCACTGGACCCAGGCTCCTGGCTAGAGACTAGAGGTGGGCCCACATGATCCGCCCTCCACTGAGGGAAAAGGATGAGGAAAGCTGTATCCCTGGACAATCAGGCTGATTATCCTCTGCCTTGAGGCCTTCCTTTCAGATTATAAAATGCTGTCGTGAAGACATAAAATCTCAACAGTATCTAGTACAAAATTTTAAAGGGTTTTCAGGGTACAGAAACTCCAAATTTAAGGGTAGATTAGTGGGATCAGGATGGGAAGTGGTGCTCACCAAAGGAGACATGCACTATGTGTGAGCTGTCCAGGATACAGGAGTGGGACTGGCAAATATATGTGGGCTGCAGCAAGGAAGGGTAGGATGCTTTGAGGTTTGAGGCAAGGCCTGCTTAAGTGAAGCAGAGAAAGGGAGTAGAGTGCTGGGAACAATAATGACAACAGGTAACATTTACGGAGTTCTTATGTACTCATATTCTAAAAACTTCACATGTAAAAGTATTTTATATATAAAATGCTTGGAGTATAAACACAGACGCCATACTTTACATTTAGTCATTTGTTCTCACAATCACAAGAAGTGAGTAGTGATCCAGTTGTGCTAGATTTTAACAGAGAAAAGGAAAGCATAGACTTGAACTTATAAAACACAGACACCAAGGGAAGAACAGTGCCATAGTCAGATATGGAGGGTGCACAGAAATTTCTAGGGATTGCCTTATGAGTCAAATCTTTCCTGATGCTTCACAAAAGAGAAGTTGAGTGTATCCCTATGGGGTGTCAATGTAGTTGCTATCTTGACATTTTTTAATTTACTCAAAGACTAGGCATTCAATTTTTATGCTTGTTGCAACTATTAACCATTAAAAATTAAATTCATAAGACTGTTTCTAGAGTCCTAATGTAAAATTTTAAACCATGATTTAGTTGCTTTTCATCTTAATTTTCTTCTAAAAAGAATTTTATCAGCCTGGCTTTAAATAGAATAACTTCTGATCTAGTAGGCTATTCTCTACTTATTGGGGGAAGAAGGCCATGAAAAGCAGACTTTTCAAACACATATGATCCTGTAATTCCTTTCAGACAAGGTTAATCATGGAAGGGTCCTAAGATTTGCTTTGTGTTCCAAAGTCTGAACACTACAATGTTAATATTTGTGAGAGAAATGCAATGGGCTCTAACGACTCAAGGGAAGATGTATAGGAACTGGGAAGGAAAGGGGACATCATACCAAGGGTAAGGAAGGCTGAATAGATGAGATATGACAACTGGGAAGAGATGCCATTTTGTGTGGCACTGAACATGTGAACTGAACTCACACATCTCTGCCTCAGAGCCTCTGCACTGCTGTTCCCACTTGTCTGGCTTCGCTCCTCTCATGTCTCTGTGCGTCCTCCCTGCAGGTCTCTTCTTAAATGGTGTCTTATCAGAGACACTTTTCATCAGCACTGCCGATCATCATCCTTACTCTGCTGTGCTACCTGCACAGCACTTATCACCACCTGATATGTTATCTATTTAATTATGTGTTTGTGTCTGTCTGCCCCTGCATAATGTAAGTTCTGTGAGGTCAGAGAATCCATCTGTTTGGTTCATAGCTGTATCAACAGCATCTGCAATAGTACCTATCACTGCAGATGCTCAATAAAGATGTGTGGAATGAATGAATGGCTCTCCCATTCAAGCGTTAGTCATTAGTCTTGTCCTTTAGCCTTCAGGTTAACATCAACTCATAGGCTCTCAGTACCAGTCCTTTTATTGTTAATGGAAGGGGGAAAATAAGACAGTTCAGTGGAGTAGTTATGAATATGGACCCTGGAACCACACCACTTGGGTTCCGGCCTAGCTTCATTGCTTCCTCAACAGCACCATCCAACAGAACATTTTGCAACGACAGAGACGTTCTGTTCTACACTGTCAAGCAGAGCAGCCACTAGGCACATGGACCTATTGAGCCCTTGAAGTGTGGCTAGTGTGACTGAGGAGCTAAATTTGTAATGCCATTTAACTTAAATTTAAGTAGTCGCATGTAGCTAGAGGCTACTGTACTGGATAGCACAGTTCCAGCTGTATGATCCTGGCAACATGTCTTAATCTCTCTGTGCCTCCATTTCCTCATCAGTGAAACGGTAACCAGAAGAAGAAGAAGAAGTAGCACACAACGATTGTATGAGAATTAAGTGAGGTCCTATGGAGAGCAGTAGAACAGCGCCTGGTCCACAGTGAGCTCCCAGTACTACTGTGGGCAAAAGAGCTGGCTTTGCAATAACACGGAATCCTCATTCAGGCATAACATAAGTATTAATCTAATATGTAAATAAATACAGGAAAATATAAGCATTTCCAAAATGTAACATTATATCAAATATGTGATAAGTCAGAAAATAGAGTAATTATAAAGGAAATCTAGAATAGCATGCCAACAAGTTGATAATTTTTTTACTAGGTTACCCTTTAATAAAATAGCAGTTGCCATAACAGCCAGACATTACAAAGTCATTTTAAAATCAAAGACAAGGAACGTCTTCTTAAAGAAACCTTGTGAACAATGAAACAGCAATATCATGAAAGGGCTCCCTTGTATGTCTGGGGTTTACCATAGAGAGTAATTTGTTTCCCAACACTGTTCTCTAGCTTTCTTATCTACTTTACAACTGTACTCAAGATTCTACATATTTTTCTGTACCTAAGGGTTTATGTTTTTAAAAAACTCACAACAGTGAAAAAGGTAAAACAATTATTTTGTAAGAAAAAAAATGATTATGCAATATATCTTATGACACCGCTTTATTATTGCCCTGAGAAGCAGCAGACTGCTGTGATTGTATTTTGAAGGAGGCTGGAATTAATTATTTTTTATTTTGTATTGTCTTTTTGTTAGCTTCCAAATAAAATGTTCTTTCCCTACCTACATAGGACTTTTTTTTTTCATTTACAAACTCCATGCTGTTCTCCTTCCCAGAGAATTTGAACGTCAAGCCAAATTTGCAAGGAAGAAGGCGAAGGAGGGGGAGGAAGAGGAACAAATGGGGTTTTGGCTCTCTGATTAGACTTTCCCTGGTCAGTTCTCCTCTTGCAAGCATTATATAAACATCCGTAAATGGAGCAGGAATAGTGGGAACTCACAAGATTACTGCTGCTCTGTCACATGTCAGTCCCATCTGTTTCGCTCCTTGAACTATACCGCTCTCTCTTTTTGTCTTTTCTTTTGTCCTCTACAACTTCCCACCTTGCTCTACTCTCAGATTTTATAGTTGTTACCCTAAAGGCTGAGAACTAAAAGCATTTCTTTTGGAAAATAATCTGTTTGTAAACAAGGTTTATATTCAAATATGTTAGTATTTACTTGGTTCTATAACATTTGTATTCTTTGCGGTAAGGTCAAAAATTATAAACCATAGAAC